ATAGCTGTCCACTGTAGTGACCGCTATGCATGAAAGGGTTAAATGACTTCATAACTAACTCTGTTGAATCCTTTGGGTCACTGTCCATTTGGAAGACCCATTTGTGTCCAAGCTTTAACTTACAGGCCGATATCTTGAGATGTTGTTTCAATATTTCAAGTATTCTTCTGCAGCAAAACGCGAACATGATGCTGCCACCTCCAAGTGCTACTGTGCTCATTATAGCCAAACACTTCAAGTTAAGCTTTACAGTATCTCCAAATGTTAGGATCTTTCTCCCTGAAGGCGTTTGTAAACTGTTTGTCTTGTGCTTGGGGAAATTACTGGGACACATTTTGCACAGAAACATGCTCATCTTTGGGTCACAGAACAATCTCCTTCATTAACAGTACGATGGCTGGTCATATTTACATATGATTGTTTGGACAGATGAATGTGGGACCTTCAGGTATCTGGCAATTGTTCCTAAGGATGACCCACACTTGTTCTCTTCTTCATATCTTTGCTGATTTCTTTTGATTTTTACATGCCACACAATAAGCAGTTAGCTTGGGGTGTTGCCTTAACATGCATCCACAGATTTGCCTTCAGTTAAGTCAGATGTTAGCAATTAACCAATCAGAAGCTCACAAAGCCGCCACATCATCATCTGGGCTTTTCCAATTTGCTTAAAAAATTGTAGTCAGTGTTATGTAAAAAACTGACTCTGGAAAAAATTGTAATTATTCTTGTATTTTGCAAATAGAAATAATGTCGTTGTCGTGACTGACCTGAAACAGAAAAAGCTCAACCTAGTGTATTGCTTTGTCATCTGGGATAATAACTCAATGGTAGAGCTAAGAAAGAAGAGTAGATTTTAGTCTTATCAGCCTGTAAACACCATAAGAGTTATAAAAAATGGTGAAAACGACTCCAGTCTTCTCTGTACAGCCGACTGGAGCAGCTTAGCTCGAAAACACATAAAGCAGGGTTAAAAAGCAAAGCACTGGCATTTTTAAGAGAACATTTGCATGGACTGTACTTTCATGTGTTGCAGCCTTGAAATTTTCCAGAAGCTGCCCACCAGCTGTGGGAAAAATGAAGTTGTCAGACTGGACATTGTGCAGACCTCTAGCTGCCGATCACAAATCCATCGTCCAGCGTTTTAGAAAAAGCATCAATGAAATCCAAATGTTTGTGTATGTTGTTCAGATTTTATGTAATAGGCCTACAGAAAGTATTTTATAACTGTAAAGTGGAAGCATTCCCGATTTTGTATTCATCCTACTGTTCTCTGATACCCCTAATAAATCCAGAGCAACCAGTTGCCTTCAGAAATCACCTAATAAAGAGAAGTATAAAGCAGGGTCAGGTTATAAAAGAATAAACCAGCCGTGAAATTAGAGCTTTGATCAGAGAAGCAGCTAAAGAGGCCTGTTTTAACTCTGGAGGAGCTGCAGAGATCAAGAGCAAAGTCTGACATTTATAGACGAGTGGCAAGAAGAAACCCAATTTTCAAAGAAAGCATAAGTGTGAAATTAGAGAATCTTGTGCTTGCATGCAAAACATTATTTATGATTAAAAACTAACTCTTAAGAACACCATGATGGTGGCAGGAGATTTCTGGCATGCTCCCCCATCCTCCATCTAGGACAGTCAAGATGTCACAGAGAAGTTAAAGAAATAGTTTAATTGAGTATCTGTACTGGCTATAAATGTTCTGCTGTGGCCTTAAGCCTAAATCTGCAGCTTCACGATTTAGGCTTTTCTAGCTCGACCACTGCCTTCTAAAGTTATGCTAATTTAGAAATGCTAAATGTTTTTACTTCTAGGGTTTTAGGAAATGTTCACATTTGTAGAAAAGCTGTAGAAAAGTTTGTATTATTTGCAGGAGCTAATTAGAGTAGACTGGACTTTGTGGGACTGAGCCAGTTCAGCTTTTGTTTTTAAATGAAACTCATTATGGATTTGGTTATTCTGTTATAACTGTGTGTGTAATGAGCAAGTTTAAATGCTGGATTTCACACTGATTTTCATGACAAGAAACAATCACTACAGAATATTAATACAGCAAGATACATGTTAACATGTTTGGGGGGGTTTTATATGGAGATTAAAACTTTAATGTTTTACATTAAAGTTCAAATATTTGTGTTACTTTAAGGAAAAGTAAGTCCATTCAGTTGTTGTTTATTTTATGTATAGCAGATGAATACCAGCTAAAACCACAATGTGTGGAAAGTGCCTATTGCAGCCTTTTCTCACTTATTGTCTTAGATTTATTTTCCTCCACTTATAAGTAACCAAGAAAAAATGAGGAAAGGTTTAGCAGTTTTTGTGCAAAGCTCTCTTAGGAAGTAAAAACTGACATTACTTCAGTAACATTTTTTGATTTACTCGCAATATTCAGTTTTACTTATCAGATATAGCCGAGTGTTTGTAATACATCTTGCACTAGTCAGCTCTTCATTTTACAAGGGAGCAACAATTTAGCTTTTGGTGCCTGATAGTGATATTTTTCAACAATGGAAAGACTGGTAGCTCTTTTAAAACAATTCAAAATACACTCAGTGCTTGCAATGATGATCAATTCTGCAAAAATCCTGGGCTGAATTTTCTGTCTCTGTCCTAGATGCAAACGTAGCAGCTTCAGTAAGCAATTCGATTTCATGTTAAAATGAAATCTGTCCTAAAGATGGCCTGCACTGCACGCACATGACTCACAAACTAGACAAGACTAAACCCTGGCAACCTTCCTCCCCGCTGACGTGTCCTTGAGCAAGTCACCAACTCCCCCAGCAGCTCCAGCGGAGGTGCTCTGGAGCCGATCCCTGACCTCTGACCTCTTTGAGGAGGGTAGCGCACACAAAGAGGGATTCTCCCTGCAGGGATTAATAAAGTATCCCATTATCATTTGAATGCAGTCGATTGTATCTTTGTAAGTCTACATTTCATCCTACTGAAGCTTTTCTGCAGCAATACGCGATGTGACCTCCCTGTATCCATCGGGAGAGGGTCTGCACACCAAATGTCACATGATAGGAACCAGTCGGTTTATCTCGTATACCTCCCTGCTCGCTGTTCATCTAATGAATGGATTGCAGCTGTGTCCTCGCTAGTTTGTTCTTCTGCGGCCAGGATTGCAAACTGTAAACTGTATTAAAAGCACAAGCCTTTCATGTACTTTTGAGTAGTCATTATAAGGCAAAACCTTTGAAATTTTATTGCTGTTGTGGAAACAAGGGGGGGGGCGAAAGAACCACTGTTTCTAATATAACTGCAGATATAACTACAAAAACACAGTCCTGTCCCAGTAACGGTCATGGGGAGTCTGTTACAGGGTCAGATGAGTCCTGCCAATAATTAGAGGACTGCTGTAGCAATCACCATAAAGCATAGTGAACTAGCTCCTTGCGGAAGTATTGACACCCTTTTATGTTATTTATTCTGGCATTATATTGCACACAGCTGAGTTATATTTCCCATTAAAGTGACTTCTGGAGGAACAGATTGTAATTAGGTACAATTGCATGGCATTCTTTTTGAAAAGTGAAATTTTTATTGTTAGCAGATTTTCCTATTTTGTATTTATGTATCTCTGAGCTATGGCTAAACATGTGACATTTCTCTCCATAAGAACAAAATATCCCCCCCCCCCCAAAGGTTTCAGCAAACGTTTCATAATGTCAGACAACTTTGTTGCACTCCTATTGCACAATACCAAAGCCCCGCTAAAGAGGAACTTAAAAAACAGCAAACACTGACATTTTATGTGTGTCCCACTGGTCAACAATCCCTCTTGTTGGCCTTTATCCTCAAATCCCCATGGATGGAGAGTCAGGAGGGAGAGAATGCTTAAATGCTTTGAATGATGGTGTGGAATGCTAAAAGGAAGAGTGTGTGTGTGTGTGTGTGTGTGTGTGAGGAGGGGGGATGTGTGGTGGTGCTGGTTGGGTCCCCTGCCTGGTCTGGGATCTGGTATGCGTGACTGAACAAGAGGAGGGGGAAAAAAAGGAGGGAAAAAAAAAAAAACACCGAAACCTGTCCCTAACTTCTAAAAGTAGACAATGGTTACTGAGCAGGCCTGGCAAACCCTGTGCATGTGTGGTGTGTGTCGCTTCACACACAAAACACCTCCTGATGGAAAGCAGTAAGGGGAAACTTGGATGTGGCTGCAAAGACGCAGCTCAAATAATTAAAGCAAAGCAAAAAAAAAATAAATAAATAAATAAATAAATGCCCTTAAAGGTAAAAAACCTTCATAAAAATTCATTAAACTGAAATAATCAATGATGTGAATCTCATCATCTTTCCCCCCCCTAACTTTGCACATTCTGGTTGCATCTGAAGATGACTAGGATACTTTGATGATTAAAAAAAATCAGCAAGGCAGAACAGTTTTGCTATAATAAACGCCATGGTGATAATTAATTACACAGGCGCCGCAGCCAAATCAAGACGGCAAGCATCCATTTTGAGCCTCCTCATAAATAATAAAACAACAAATTAGATTTTTTTTGTTGTTTTGTTTTTGTTCAAGCCCGTTTGATAAGCAGGACAATGGTCCTAAATATGTGGGCAGCTATTTGGAGTCGTGTATTAAAATAATAAAAGGCCATATTGTTCTGAAGAAGTGCACCAGAGCTCATTGGGGAGGAATTTAAAACACCACAAATAATCCACACCGCTGGTTCGTTCATTATATAAATATCTTTAATTGTTTTTAACCGTAAGAATATAAAACAATTTAATTTGGGATTCTGCATTCTTTTTCTTTACAAACACATAATATACAGTACATCTCTTTATTGTCAAAGACACACACGCGCACACACACACGCACATAGCTTCTTCAGCAGGACGCACATCCGTTTATATTCATTTTCTTGCAGGTCATTGCATTACAATAAAAATGCGCACACACACCTCGGTGTGCGCGTGTGCATGTGTGTACAGTCTAAATCTGCATGTGTTTTTTTTTTTTTTTTTTTTTCCAAAGGAAGGACGGTAAGATGAGAAAAGGGGGAAAGAAAGACGTATATTCTGCTCGTTGCAACCCAAAACTCGAGGGAGCGAGGAAGTCGGGGGGGGAAATCGATTGCTATTTATTCTAAGCATGTCTCAGAATTGATTCGGAGGGTATTTTTATTCAGAGAGATGAAGAAGAGGGTACAAATGGGGGGCGTGGGGGAAAGGGAAAGCTGTGCACCGGTAAGGGCAACATGAATATGAGTGCGTCTGTACTAATGTGGGAAAATAAGAGCACAAGACAAACCCTGATTTGTTACGATTAATAAAGGGTAAGACATAGAAATCACTTCAATTTGAAGTACTCTGGACACTCATCTCCACCAGCATGCCTTACAAAAACACCTACAGCTCAACAGGACCTACAAGGTTTAACATAACTGTTATACCCTTTTCTTGTCCGTGTCATAAGCAGGCATGGCCCGGTTGTTATTAAGATATACCAAGATCTTGCAGCTTTGAAATCACTAAAATGTCACAACCGATCTTTTCTTTTCTCCGATTTAAACACCTTTTCAATAAATCTGGCTGCATGGAGGATAGAGTAACGCAGTGCTACCCCTACATCACTTGTCGCTGCACACTGCCAATCAGCTGGCTGGGAAAAAAAATGCTTCTGCAATGTTCACCTTGTTTATCAGAAAGACACATTTGGCTTTTCGGAAATACACAGACCATAATGCTGTGGGAACTAAAGAAGTGCCAAAAGACCCTTATTATAGAGATGCACCAATCTGGCTTTTACCAGCCAATACCAATTTCTGGTTAAATAAAAAAAAGACCTGCAAATTCTAATGTTTTTCCAACCTATTATTTCATTTGGCTTATGAAAACAACTGTCTTAGATATTTCTGGTTGTGAAAAACAATGATGGCGTGAAAACTGCAGTAAAACCACTCATGAAAAATGACTCATTTCAGCAGACATCTCCTCCAAAGGTGCAGCAATTAGGCCTTAACTGGCCAACCCCAATTTCTCTTTTGTGGCCTGACCTGCCGATTCTGATGTTTCCTGACAAACGCATAAAACAGCAAAAAAATATGGTGCAGCTTTTATTGATTATTGGGCGTAGTTAAGTCCAGGAAAGAAAACTATAGGATGACCAGATATCAAGTACATATCTCTAATTTTGAATGTAAGTTTTGTTAAATTAAAAAGTGCATCAAAGTACCTACTCTTTTGCTGATACATTTACAGACCAAAAAGTATATTCTATATTTGACCCCAGGATCAAGATGCATCTCTATTTTTGCTTTATCTATGTGTCAAAACCAATTTGCAGCAATAAGAATATTTGTTGCTTTACTTTTTTGAATGAAAGCAATGTTTATCAGTTTAAAATGTTTGCATTTTTACTTATCTTATAAGGAAAAGTGCAAAGAATCTGATACCGACCCATGCCTAGTCATAGCAAAACAATTATAGGTATTTTTGCCACGGGGTATGCTCTTAATCCTGCCAAAAAAGGACATTAAAGTTGGACTTTATCCTTTTAAAGAATGAAGCAAACACACAAGAAACCTTTTTTTGATGCGTGAGTTGGGATTTTTTTTTTTTTTTTTGTGAAGTGACGTCGGCTTGTAATCGGACTAAACTCCACAGAAAATGGGTGCTGTTTATAGGGTTAAATTAACAAAGGTAGTCAGATTGTGTACTGGTCTCCTTTCTCTGGCTCTGCTCATGAAAGAAGGGAGGGAGGAAAGGAGGGATGGGGGAGGGGGCAGACACAGTCCCTTTAGGCACATTTTCTACCAGTCTCTCATTTCTCAGCTTTCCATCTTCGTTTTGAACTGTATACATCCTTTAAGAAACAACCACATACGAGGTAGCCAAACATTTATTAGGCGTGATGGCTGTAGCGGCGATTAGTCATCAAATCTGAACTCGTAGCAAAAATAAATCTCATTCATAAGTTTCAACAACCTGTCTTTGCTTTGAATATATATTTAAAAAAAAGGATTTTGGATGGATGCAAGTGTCAAGAATCAAAGTGTTTTTGTAAGAAGAAAATTATAAGTCGTTTGAAAAATAAGCTAAGTTACTGCAATTCAGGTCAGATATTTCTTGAGATATTAAAACTCAGATTTGTTAGTGGGTTTCCAGGAAGTCTTATATTTAAGATACGAGTCTAGATGCTGCAGGGCCAACAGAATGAAAAGTTAAACAGCTGAAAAGAAGAGGCAGGTCAAATGGAAGAGGCTCACCTTACATCGGAGGATGCAGGGAGGGGTTTTCTCTTTTTAAATAAAAGAAAGCCAGCTGAGCTTTTCACCCTGACTCCTCCTGCTCCTTGTGACCCCTTTCCATCCAAAAAAGAAACGCACACACACACAAACACACACCAAAACACTCCCAATCACCTCACTTTCTCACTCTCCGTCATCTGCCAGAGTCCCAGGTTCAACACTTTAAGGCAGGGGAGCTGCGTGATTCGCTCCAGTCCCCTCTTGGTGATCTTGGTACATCCATACAGGTCGATGCCCACCAGCTGGGTCAGGTGGTCGGCTATGAGCTCCAGCCCTTTGTCTGTGATGCGCACGCACTGTCCAATGTTCAGGGTCCTCAGCTCGTGCATCTGCCTCACCATCCGGTTTATCCCGTCATCTGAGATGTGGCAGGAGCACAGGGACAAGGACTTGAGCTGGTACAGTCCCTGAGCAATGTACGCCAGGGTCTGGTCCCCAATCTTGTCGCAAAAGGAGACGTCCAGCCCGGAGAGGCGAAGGGTGCCCATCGCAAGGTGCATAGTTCCTGTGTCACTGATGTTGTCACAGGAGCGCAGGTTGAGGCTCCACAGGGAGGTCATGTGAGACAGGTGGATCATCCCCGCATCCGAGATCCCACCACAGAAGCTCAGATTCAACACCCGCAGCTTGGTAAGCCCCTTGGAGATATGCTTGAGTGACAGGTCTGTCAGCTTCTGACAGTCTTGGAGGGTCAGGTACTCCAGGTTCAAGCAGCCCTCTGCCGCACTCCGGGTCATGCCCGCCAAATGTCCGATCCCTACATCTGAGACATGCCTGCAGGACCTCAGATTGAGGCTCTTAAGTCTGTGGAGCCCCCAGGCTATCAACAGGAGCCCGGTGTTTGTGATGTTGCTGCAGCCGCCAAGCTCCAGCACCTCCAGGTTCTTCAGGTACTGGGCGATCCTGCCTAGACTGGAATCTGTGATCTGCTTGCAGAGACTTAGGTTCAGAACCCTTAGAGACGGGATCTCCTGCACAAACGCGTGGCCCAGTCCGTTATCCGTTAGGTTGTAGCAGCCAGACAGGTTGAGGGACTCTATGTTCGGCATCCCCTGGATGACATAGCTCAGGCTGCGGCGCAGGGACAAGATCTGGACTCTCCGGATCCCCCTGGCCTGTAGGCTGGGGAACAAGGAAGGATTTGCCCGGCGGAGGTGAAGCTTGGCTTCCACCCCCCTCCACACCGACTTGTGGTAGGATGCATCCCTCCAAGCGATGCACACTTGGGCCACCCTGCCTTTGTCCCTCACGTCCAGGTAGCTGAAAATCATGGCCAAAATTTCTGGGAAGAGGCACGAAATGTGCGTCTCCATTGTTTTTCAAAACCCAGGCATATAAGAATCAATACTCCACACCTCCAAGGCTGAAAAACGAACCCCCTTCTGCACTTGAAATTATGCAAAAGTAACAACAGTCCCAGTTGTTGTTTTTTTTAATAAAAAAAAAAACTAGAAAGCAGGAGTTGTGTGCTGCTCTTGTTTTATTTTACTCCTACTCTCACTCTGAACTGTGCAAAATCGATCCAACTCTCTCTGGTGCCACGTGATCCGGTCTGGTTGCGCAGCAGGATTCAAATAGATATTGTCAAAGTAAAAAAAGCAAAGAAAAACGTTAATTCCTGCTTGAACCCCGCTATCCGCCAAAAAGGAGCAGGCAGAAGGGGCAAAAGGAAGAAGGAGGAGGAGAGGAGGTAAAAGCGTCAATCCTTCCCCCCTCTCCCTCTTCTCTCAGACGACGCTTCCTCGTATTATACCCACAAAAAGCCTTCCTCCGGCGGCCGAGCGGGGATCCAGACGGTCGTACATTTCAGAAGGAGGAAGTAAGCGCTGAAGCGGCAGTCTTAGCGCTGCTGGTTACGGGGCAGCTCCATGACAGAGTGGGGGGGAAAAGCGGAAAAGACGGGAGTTTAGGTTGGCTTTGTGGGCAGAGTGAGAGGCAGAGAGGGGCGTCCTGAGCTCAAAGCCTTTGTCTGCTCTTTTCAAACCGACTTGGCAGGAAACCCGGCACTCTGGCAACACCGGAGGGGTCGACGCCACAATTGACGCTCACAGTAACTCCTCATAACTGTTTCACGTCACTAATAACTCTTACAGTTGCTCTATGAATACTTTTAACAGCGTAAAAATTTGGTTTGAGGTGTTTATTAAGCGCCAGAGTGTGAGTTTATTTCGTGTGTGAGTCTGAGCACCCCTACTCTCCCCGTGTGACGCAGTTGGTTTGTCCCGCCTCAGCTGGAACGGTGCGAACAGTTTCCCTTGGAAACCAACTTCTTACAATTCAGTTCACTTTGGGTTTTAACCCTTTAAACGGACCACACAGGAAACATTGACAAGCCAACAGGACAGTCGGCTTCTACTCTGTGTATGTGTCGTTGGAAGGTTGTTTCCCCCTCCATCTTACTGATTTTAATCGTTGTTTTGAGGAATTCCCCCAAACGGCCCAGAAACAGACACCGGTGTTCTTTGTTTCAGTCCCAGTCTGAGAGCTCCACTTTCCTCCATTTCCCTTTTCTTGAAATGGAAAGTAATACCAAAGAAATGAAGTCTATTTAATTTTTGTCTTCTTCAAGCCTGGATAAGTAGGCTAAGGGGGAAAAAGAATAGAGTATGGAAAAAAATTTTCTGCGTTCCCCTTCATTTATCATCCATTCTCCATAAAAAAAAATCTAACCATTTCATTGATTATTTTTGATATATTGACAGATGCCACAGAGAAATGCTCACTCACTCATAATTCAAAGAGTGATATTTCATTGCTACAGACACAGACACTGCTGTTTCAAAATAATTTGGAATCAAAATAACCTTCATTGTCCCACAAAGGGGAAATTCAGGTGTACCAACCGGAAGTCAAAGCTTGCAGATTCACATAAAGTTTTGAAAAAATAAACACACAGAAAGTAAGAATGACATACTGTAGATATGGTAAATTTAATAAGAAAATACAGTACATATGTTTAATCATTTACATTGTGTTATGGGGTACAAAAACCTCACTTTTTGACTTTAATATTCAATTAGGTTGTATTTTAAAAACAAAGGTTAATGTTATATTATTAAATAGGATGCTGTTTAATAAAACATTACAGTGACAATAAAAGTCTGAAAAAGTAAGTAATGTGATGCTAGAATAAATTAACTTGAAAAGAAAAAATATATATACATTCGAATATTTTAAAAACATGCTAATGAAAATCTAATTAATTTACTCAAAGTATTAGAGAATTGCATTTAAAATGAGCACAGGAATATCACAGTATTTGGCCAGGGATCCTTTTTGTATAAATTACTGCATTATCCAGAGCGTGGCATGCAGGTTATCCACCTGTGGCTCAGCTCAAATGTTAAAGAAGCTCATGTTGATCATCTGCATTATTAGTTATGGTGTCTTTCATTTTCCTCTTGACAATACAATCGTGAGCTTTAGTTTCAACCAGTTGCTGTCTTTTTCGTGACCCAAAGGGAATGTTTTTGCCTTTGGGCTTTTTCCTGTATCCTTGTAACTCTCCCCTGGATGTAATGTCTGCCCATTTTTATTATTGAATCATGAACCTCAGCTGAGGTATATTTGCAATTTCTTAGCTCTTCAGTGCTTGTTTTGAGTTTTATGGAAACTCTACAAGAGATAAAACCCAAGTTAACAAGAAGTTAAGGTAATGATGTTGATTTTCAGGTAGATTAATAAATGTCTGAGAAATTTTGACAAGATTGATAACTCTAGGTTGGTTGGTTAGAAGTTAATCGTAAAAGTTGGTATGGCAAATAATTGGTAAAAGTAATTGGTTTCAGAGTAAAATTAGTGCACTTTTCTAGTCAAAGTGCTTTTGCACTAGAACAGTGGTTCTTAACCTGGGTTCGACCGAACCCCAGGGGTTCGATGAGTCGTTCTCAGGGGTTCGGTGGAGCCTCTGCCGCGGAGGTAAAGACACACTTGTGTAAAGTCGTGATGACGCCCCGCTTGCCATCACTTGCTGCAGAGGATCACGTTACATTGCTTGTAATGCGGAGGAGCACTGATTGAAGGAGCTCCACTCTCAGCATGGATTTGAACTTGTGTCTTTAATTACTTCAGCAAAACTCACCGTTTTTACCAAATTCTGTAGCTTTCGGTGTACTTCTAAATCTGCTCCTTAGTCGCATCTTTTCGGGGTTCCTACTGCCTCTAGTGGCGTGGGGGTGGTAACACAACTAATATAATTACATTACTAAATCAGAATACCGCAAAGTCTTTATTATTTATTATAAATTTTTCATTCTCTTAAGAATATAGAGCTAATTAATTGATCTAAACAAGACCTTAAAGTGGTTCCAGTTTTTCTCGATGGCCAACCTGTTGAAACTGCGGCAAATTTAGGTTGTTCCTGGACAGTCAGCTCAACTTTGCTGAAAACACTGACTATATTTTGAAGAACTGCTCTCAGAGACTCTACCTTTTAAGAAGACATAGTGATCATGGGGTGACCCAACTAGACTCTAGTTGAGGCACCCCTATGTCTTCAATTTGCAGGGTGGGGGGGAAATATCATATTTTTTTTTTTTATCACAACAGAAGGGTTCAGTGAATGCGCATATGAAACTGGTGGGTTCGGTACCTCAAAAAAGGTTAAGAACCACTGCACTAGAACCACAGAATTGCTAAAGTTGTGTTAGACGTGCAGCAGTCCCTGTAGGTAGTCTGCGAACACAGAGGAAGCACAAGGGAAGTTTCAGCAAGCAAATTACCATTCCACTGTTGACAGTCTGTCGAAGGAGGACCATATGGCAGCTCAACACATCCAGCAGGCTTGATGAGCGACATGCGCGTATCTGCAGCCAGCGGGGCAGTGCCCTCTTATAGACGACCAACTGAAGCAGGAAGGAGAAACAGCAGGGAAAAGGTAAATAAAACACCACAACCACCCTGAATAATGACAGATAACATGGCCATTAAAGCGGATATTGGTGTTTTAGGCAGTGGGTAGGTGACAAGTCCCGCTGGAAAATGAAATCAACATCTTCATCAGGCTCATCAGCTGAGAGAAGCATGAAGTGCTATACAAATGTCCTGCTGGACGACTCCCTAAATAAATCATCACTGATTGTTGAAGCTTCACTGGACCTCAAACAAGTTGGATTTTGTTTCTTTTCCACTCTTCCTCCAGATTGCAGGAGGTGAATTTCTAACTTGCATCTAAAAAGAGGACAATTGGTAACAATCCAATCATTTTTCTCCTCAGTCCAAGTAAGATGCTTCTGATGTTATCATGAGTTGCGGAGTGGCTTAACTCAAGGATTTGAACTGTTGTACTTCTAGGTGTGTATGTTTACTGTGGCTCTTGGAAGCACAAATCTAGCTGCTTTGAGAAACTATCCAGGCTGCAGTTATCCTTCCACTAAACTTTCTGTTATTTCATATGGATTAATCACATTTATGCATTAAAAGTAAAAGCACATGCTATATTCTAAATATACAGGGAAAATATATTTCCCTGTATACCACAAACCTATAGTTGAGTTTAACATTTTGAATTGAAACACTAAATTAGATAAACTGAGAAAGAAACACCTTCGGATCAAAAATGTATTCTGTATTCTTGTATTCGGCATACAAATACAAGTGAATTAAATTAATTTTTGTGGCCTCACCTCACAACTAAAAGCTCGTTCTGATTTCCAGGGAGATTTGATTTCATATGTTCTGAAAAATAAATTACAGGCCAGAAGTGGATTGCTGAAATACTGATTAATTCAGTTGTTACTCTTGTTCAAATCTCAATATAAAATAAGTCAGCTTGGAAGAAGAACTTCCTTACGTAGCACTGAAAGCAATTAGTCCCTTCATGCTGCCTATTTTTAATCCCTTTATGCTATTTTTACATAAATTTACCTATTAATAGCCTCCTGATGTTGCACAATAGATCCGTTTGGTAGATATGTGAAATAGATTTTTACTTGCAATGCGAGAAAACATTCAGGATCCATCCCTCTTCTCTTTACTCATGTTCTGTACTTTCATCAAGGGTAAAAACAAAGTAGCTAACTGCATTGTCCCTTGTGGCTGCCAACACCTACGTCCTTGGTATTCAGGGGCAGAGTGCGTCATGCATTTTCAAAATAGCAGTCCTGACATGAATACCAAGCTTAATAATGACAGAGCAAACACCTTGGGTGGGAAAGTCACAGCGTCTTCCAGCAGAACATGGCCTAACGGTACTGGGTTCTGGTCTGTTTGATGAACCTCATGGGATGGAAGTGATGGAAGCCTGTCAAAAGCCACTTTATGGCTTAAGCAACATCCTCCATAGATTTGTTTGGCTTATTAAAAACAGAAATTAACAAATTATTGCACAACTCTTAAGTTTGCATTGATGGTGATATGTAGTGCAAATTATTTGCCACATACGGTGCTGGGAAAAAGTGTTTGTCCATTTTTAGATCTTCTATTTTAGCTTTTGTCTCACAATTAGATGTTTAATATTGTCAAATAAACTTGAGTTCAATTTAAAAAGTAAATAATAGTTGAACTTTTTCAGGCCGTATGGATGTTTGTGGTTGTACATCGGAAAAGAATGCAACCACTCAGTGTGAGAGTTGGTTTTTTTCTTACATCCTGTGTTAATTTTAGGACAGATGCAACAGGTCACACAACTTTCAGGTAGATTTCTGTTTTTCTCTCAAAAAAATCTCGGATCATCAGAATAATTTTTTTGGAACTCTTTTATGGATATAATTTCTGCCCAATCGCTCCTCATTATTGAATCATGTCAGGTCTGCAGTAATTTGCTGTTCAACATTGTTTTACGAGCTCATGAATTAGTATAAATTTTTGGAGTAATTTCATAGGCTGATCACTTCTAGGAAGGCTAACTATGTTCCATGTTTCTCCAAAGTTTTTCCCCTCCATTGTGCCTGACGGTTTCCTTGTGGATCAATGAAGCCCCAAAGTGATTTCTTCATGTAATCATGAAAAGTGCATTTGGTTTTTAGTCATTTTATCTTCGCCTTATCA